ATTCAATGCCCCATTATTCACAGTCAATATCAGTGCCGCACCATCCGCAATCAGTTATGCCTCACCTGGAATCAGTTGTACATCATCCGCAACCAATTTTAAATCATCCAGCATCGATTATGCCTCATCTAGAATCAAATCAGCAACATTCCAAGTTAGGTTCTGGAAATTCTGCATCAACTTCAATGTATTTGCTAAATCCTCAGGAGCATTCAGATGTGCGTGAGGTTTTACAATATTCAGATTCAACTCAGCAAAATTCATTTTTTGATTCATCAAATCCTGTTCAGACTTTACTATGGTCGAAATCAGCGGCACAGAATTTAAAAGGAACTGAGGAGTACTCGGTTTCTACTCGAAATCATTCTATCAGTCGTCCAATTCCACGACATTTGTCAATAGCTGTGCAACATTCGTTGTCAAATTCAGCAACTGTAAAAAGTCCGCAATTAGTTCAGGAGCACTCAGAATCTCCTCCACAAGATTTAGCACCACCCCAGCATCATCCAGTCTCTGATTCACAACATCCAATAACAACCTCATATAATTCAGAACTAGCTCCACAAAATTTAGTGCCATCCCAGCATCATTTAACATCTGATTCACAATTTTCACAAACAATTCTACAGCATCCACAATCAACTTTGCAACATCCGATTTACCCTACACATTATTGGGCACCTTCACAATTTCTATTACCAGCCTCACAATATTCTGAATCGACTCCACGAGAGTTGCAATCAACCTTTCCATACTTGATGCCAGGTGCGCAGCCTTGGACACCAAATTCACAATTGCAAGCACTAAATTCACAATATTTACGACCATTCTTTTTGGGATCAGTTTATCAATATCAAGTATCAAGCCCACATTATCTGGCTCCAGTTTCACAATCAGCTCCACAATATGCACAACCACCTTTTTCATACTATCCAGTATCATATCCGCAAAATTCAATCCTGCCTGAAGCATATCCAGTATTACGTCCATTGCCGCAGTATATGGTGTCATCTACACAAAGTGCAGTACCATCTTCTACAGTTCTGGAGCCAATTTTCATAAATTTAGTTTCACCATCAGCGAATTCAACAATGTAATTTGATTACTGCAAATGTAAAGAGCTAATAAAATTGCATCTAACTCATTCTCAGTGATTTCTTATTTAATTGAATTTTTATTTCAGGGATGATCTCCAGATTGAAGACGACGATGTACATGAAATCTGAACCACTGACTGGTTGCAATAAAAAGTTAAACTTAATTCATTTTCAGTGAACACTAAGTTTTTGCATTTGTTGCTAAAATTTATAAATTGCTCAGTACTATGTATTTTTCCTACAAATTCAAATTCAGTTTAATCAATTTGTTATCCAAAATTTTCGCTCTTTTGTTTAAAACAATCTGATTGCTAAATACTAACAATGTTAAAGTGATTTTTTATCAAGATGCAAAAATTGTTCATTATTATGCTCATTATGGAGCGAAAAATATTGTAGAATTTGTTTAAGAGAACACCAAAATTTAGCAAAAATTTTGCATAATTTGGCTTATGAGAGATTTAGCACTCTATTTTTGATGCATGTGCTCAATTTCTATCAAAGTAGCACTTTCTTCTGGCAAACAATGAAGTGATAGCCAGAATAACACCCTTCATAGCGCTGCATTAAAATTTGCATATTTTTGTTTGCTTCTTCTTCGCATAGTATTTTCATCGCAATAAATGATATGAGAATTTGCTCGTCTTTATTTTTCAGATTACAAAATTCATCGTTTTTCATTTCACAGTAATGTGTTGCGTAGTGTGCAGTATCCTCGTTGCATAGTCTATAGAAATCCTTATTGCGGCGCAGATTTTTTCTTAGATATAGATGGCTTAATTTAGTGTCAGACGTGATACAGTGCACTCGCGAACGTGGTAGTATTATTCGTAAAAATTTAGGTTACGTTGAGAATAATTCTATTGCAGTGTATTGCTCAGGTGTTGTTTTCTTACTTATTGTATTTAGTAACAAAATTTAATTATTAATTTAACTTCATATTAGTTAATTGTTTAATAATTAACTATCTGTTTTTAGGCAAAATTTGATCAAAAAAAGTGATGGCATTTTAAAAATGAGCAAAATGTAATAGAGTTAATAATAAATTGATTATCACAAAATTATTTTCAGCTTTCAATAATCGTAACACTTTTTATTTTTCGTAAGCAAGTATGTACACGGAAATCAAAGAATTAATTAATTTCTTGGCAATTTTCCTGCATTATCAAATACCGCGTCGTCGAGTAAATTCAATTATTATTCGATTTTTTTCTTATTTAATCAGTTTTTTATCAGTATTATATTTACAATTAGTTTTTTTACTAAAAAACAAGAATGCTTTTTTGAAACAAAAAATAGATCTAAATATAAGACGCGATTTTTCTTTCAGTAATTGTTAATTTTTAAGATTTGTTTTTTATTGGAAAATTACGGTAATCATTTGGCTACAAAGTATGCAGAGAAATGGAAAACTGATGATCCACATTATGGTTAGTTGATCTCACAGAGCTAAAGTTACTTAACTGAATTAAAAATTTACAGATAAAGTTTGTAATAGTTTCAGGACATTTGCATAAAACAGTCAAATCCCCAAAACTGAAGTATTATTAATGACTTTCAGAATTTCCAAGAAATCAAAATTACATTAACGTTTATTGCTAATTATGTGATCAGTAGAAGGAAAGAATTCAAGTATTGAACGGTTTTAGCTCCAAATTCAAAAGAAAACGATTAAATATCAATTAAAATTTGCAATAACGATATTTGCAGGTGAAAATGAGCGGAAATTAGTGATCAGAACAAATGAAAATTTAGAACCAGTCTTCAGCATCATTGCATCAAGCATAGGCATTGTGATGGAGAATCTCATAGCGTGTTTCCCATGTTACTTTTATTTTCACTATCAGATAATTTGGATGCAAAATCGTAAAATTATAAAAAATTCCAAATGTTAACAAGGGGAAAAAAGGAATGAATTTTTTTTCAGCCGCAATGGTAATCACCTGTAATCCAGGTGAAGTATCATGTCAGACCACGAATTATCCTCACGTAATCTCTGTTTGGATGGGGCATGTAAATGCTGACTTGAATTACTCCCCGACACTCTCAGGTATCTCGCTCTTCTATGAAACTTCCAAGAATCTCTTCAGCTCCTTGCACGGTAATTATTTTCAAGAGTTCACTTGTTGATTTTTGAATTATTTCATGAAATGAACTTTTAAAAATGTTCTGTTGATTGGCTAAGGTCATTCATTTCTAAGGTTTCTTCCTTTTCAACTTATTTGCTTATTTGCTTAAACTGAATGCAAAATCAAATGCTTCAAAAAAATTCAATGCAAGTTTATTATAGAAAAATGAAGTCTAAAATTTTGTAGGTGGTTCTTTAGCTTCAAATTCTAAAATTAATGAAGCGAAGTCTCAGCGATGTATTATGTATGGATTGATTAACTCTGCAGATGAAAATGCATACGATTTGATAGAAAGCAGATTCTTCTACGGCAACCGAGTAAGACTTTACTTTGAAATTTATTTCAGTATCAGTGTATCAAAGCAGATTATCATTTATGACTAATGCTCAACTATCAGCATTGAAACAATTTCACTTTAGACTCAAGTCTAGGTGAAGCTTAAAAAGTTATATTTGTTGAGTATTTACAGTTATTTAAATTAAATGTTTGTACTGCTGTGTAGATACAATTTTTTGTGTGTTTAGACTAAAATATTTAAACTAATCTTCTTTTATTACAGTTTAGTAAAATGCTTGCTAGTTATTCTTTACGCTCAAAAAGTGTACAACAACGGTTTACTTGCAATTTAATAAAAAACAAAAATCATAGACTAATATAACTTTTCAATATGTCTTCAGCCTATTTATTAATCATTTAAACCAGTTCTGTTTTTTTTTTTTGATTTAACACTGCAAACTATTGATAATCTATTTTTACTGAAATTTCAAAGATTTGAAACATTTGATGTTGCATACTGCAGATTCCGCAATTTCTTCTTCGTTATATTCCAAAGAATAATACGTCTTTCACGGTGCGTTCCTTTGCGGATACGCGTTTCGGCTCACATCGTTCACGTCCTGATCATCGAGCAATGCGACGAATTCAACATGCCGCAGCATTTCTTGCTGTCACTAATAAAGCTACTCAAAGTAAAACCTTTAATTCGTCATTGTTTCTGTTATAATGAAAAAATACTCTTCTATAATTAAAATTTGAATATAAAACAAAAATCATAGACTGTCATAATGAAAAATGCTGAAAATCATAGAATTAGAAAAGTATTTTTAATTATATTTTCAGACTTTTTTTCGGATTTCAACAAATTTGATTGTTCTTAATGTTTTGAACCAGGCAAATAATGCAACTTTTCAGGTATTAACTGTGAACATGCATCAAAAGTTTCCACAAACAGTGTGCTTGCTGGTAATAACGACAGCAGTAGCAGTAACAAAAACGGTAGAAAATTCTTATCTATATTAAATTCTAACGAAATATACTACAAAAGTTCTCTTATAGATAAAAATATTAATTAGTATTGGTTTAGGAAAAAAAATTCTTGTCAGTTTTAAATCCTTAATCATTATTTCAGTATCTAACAATCAAACTTTCGATTTCACTACTAATTCTCTTGCGCCTCTGCCATCGATGGCGACCTTACCGCCTCCACTACAGAAATCGCAGCTACAACATGCACAAGCACGATCACAGTTTTTAAAATCATTGCAATTACAGGCACCATCACAATCGCAACTACCATTACAACCGCAATTACCATTACAATCGCAACTACCATTACAACCGCAACTACCATCACAATCGCAACTACCATCACAATTGCAACTACCATCACAATTGCAATTACCACCACAATCGCAACTACCACCACAATCGCAACTACCATCACAATCACAAATATCATCACAATTACAATTACAAATACAGCCGTCAGCACTACAAATACAACTACCAGTACCACAATTACAGCCATCAGTACCACAAATACAGTCGCAAATACAAACACAATTGCAGCCACAAATACGCCAACAAATGCATTTGCAATCACTGCATTCTCAAGTACGGCCAGCATATCAACAGCCAGTACAACCGAAATTGTCACTGCAGCATTCACGACCACAGCGACAATTTCAATCTGTAGAATCACACTTAACAAGGGTTAGCATAGACTGAAATTAAATAACAAAATTACGACAGAATATTAATTTGAAAACGTATAACATACTGTTTTTTGACTCAGTTTCTTAATAGACTAACGTAATTGAATGGTGAATTTGCTTGAGAGACAAAAATTATATAAATTTAACTTTGAACTCAACTTTAGGAATTGGCAGATTTTTCCTCTACAGCATCTAATAACAATAATACGTTTTATCATAGCCTTAATTGTATATTACAAAAGCTGTAGTGAAATTGTAATACATTTGTGGTAATTTAATTCCTTGATAAGTAGCACTGAGATCAGTAAAACTAATTTAGGACAAAGCTTAGCAATTTCATTTCCATCTCAGAAGGTTCTGTTGTACAAATTTATTGAATAATTTAATCAAAAATAAATGTTTTCTTCTAAGAACACATTTGACTGACTAAAAAATAGATCATACGCAAACATCTAATTTGGCTACTTGACAAAAGCAAATTTTTCGAAAAGACTGCATAAAAGCAATGTTCAGAGTGAAAAGTGCTAGGATTCTGTAAATTATTTTTCGTTTACTCTAAAGAAATGTGTTGTATTTTGAAATTACGATTAGTTTAAACGTTTAAATTTTAGCCATTGACTTTTCATCAAGAAATTCAGAACTCATCAGCTGATCCATTTGCATTATATTTCCCTTATCAGGTACCATTTTATATTCAGCATTGCACTCATCTCCAACAAACTGTAATCTTTATATGTAAACAAAAACGCATTACTTTTGTATTATTAAATAGACAATTTTTTTATTAAAAACTTGATAAAAAGGATTTGGTGCTTGCATTAGTATAAACAAGTATTATTTTCAACGCATTCAGAGAGCTGGCAGCAACATTCCTACAAATAATCCTGGTAGCGGAAGTGCATGGCCACACGATTCATACTGTGAGCCATACCATCGAGCACATCTGAATGAAACAGGTAAAAATTATTTATGCACCACACACACACACACACACACACACACATTTAACACTTAATAAGTTCCATCAAAGTTGAAAAGTTAAAGGTATTGCAAAGTTTCATAATTTTCTATTATTAGCTAAGAAACTTTGAAGAATTCAGCGCAAACGTTTTCACTTCAAGTAATTCAAACAACTCAAGTAGTATTGTAGATTTCTATCTTGAGCCATTTTGAGAATTCATTAATTTGAGTAGTTGATAATGTTCTGAACGCTTTTAGATTTAGATTTGAGTCTGAAATTCATATTATTATTACAATAGTTTTACCAAAATTAGTAATTAAAAATGAAAAGGCTAGCATAATATTCTTTCTTTTTATTTAATACAAGTACTTGGCAATTATACCTTTGAGAAAAAGATATGAAAAGCTAAAGAAATGCAAATAAAACAGTATTTGAAAGTAATTATTGAGACCGGATCAAATGGTTTCTGATATGTTTGTGTATTGTTAAGCAGCTGAAGAAAGCAAATAATTAGATGACTGTGACTAGAACTTAGCTACTTAATTTAAGTAAAAGAGAAGCAATTACAGATGAGGAATATTTTCAAAAAAATAAAAAATTCGGCTTTCAGAGCCTAACTTAGTAGTTGTATCTTCAACTTTTGAAGCCCTTATGTCTCTTTGAAAATTTTTTACGATAAAAAATTTCATTTATTTATTTTTTGTCTTAAAAAGTTGAAAACACTAATAAAATAAATTTAATGAATGCGATCTTTTTGCAAAGTTTGCAAATTGTACAAATTTTTAGCAAAAAAGAAATAATACGAACTTGAGAGAAGTATGATTTGGTACCGATCACACATGCCTGGTGAACTTCGGATGATATCAATTTGCATATTACTGAGTGAAATTAAGTTTTAGAAAGTTTTGTTAAGCAAAACAATTTATTCATTACAGTTAGCTAATTTTCACGTATTTTCGATGTTTATAATTAATTTAAATGGAAAATATATATTTGGCAAAATGACTGCGAAGAGAACAAAAAATTCATGAAAACTTTTTTGATGCTTCATTTTGATAACATAAAATGCTATCAAGTTTTAGAAAGTTTGCATCTTTTGGAAAAAAGTCTGCAAGTTTGATATTTACAAAGAATTTGAATCAGTGCAGTGCAAGCATTTTCAGTTGTTAATTTGTGTAATACAATGAACATTTGTTTATTTCCAGTAATTAGAATTTATTGTAAGCATTTATGAAATAATACTAAATTCATAACAAAAATGGAAAAAAACTATGATTTAATTTAAAAAATTGCTAAAAATTATTTTGTGAGAATAATACATCTTTATCTTCTTTTTGTATTTTTTGTTAACTTTACGTACTGCATTTGCGTAATAATTTTTCTTTATAAAAAGTCTTCTCAATTTGCTGTAGCAAAAAAGTCTCAGTGATAGTGACAGTGAGTGATATTGAAAGGTTAAGTATGTACTGATAGCATATCAAGAGATCTGTAAGAGATTACTTAAATAAGTGATGCAGTTACAAATTCACTTTAGTTTTGTTTTCCTTCTGTCGAAAGTTAAAGATTAAAATATCCTTTGCTGAATGTAATTTTAAATAATACAAATGTTTACTGCTCTGTTATAGAATAAAAATTAGAATAAGACTGCTAAGAACTTATTATCACTTGAAATTGAAACAAACGCGTACTGACAAAAGTGAAAACAAAGTCGTCAATGCTTTTGAGAAATTCTACAGCCAAAATAGCACATTGAATGCTCATATCAAAAAACACATACTTTGTTAGTAAGTTAGAACTCTTTCTGAAAAGTTCTGTGCTACCATCGGAAAATTTGGCTGAGACGAATATAACTTCAGCATATCTTTGGTCAGTATGTAATTAGTTAGTGGACAATAATAATTTTGACCAGAAAATATATTATTTGACAGCTAACTTTATTACTCGGAAGGACAAGCCTTAAAAACTTCTGCGTTAAACGCAGTCTTTGCTATCAAAACAGATAATTACTTCTTTGTTGAATTTTTCCATAATTTGGTCAATTCATTTCACTATTACACCAAATGATCGATCCATCCTGTAATTTAAGAATACTGCAATACTGATATCTCTTCCGAGTATGAACTCAACTGAAACTCTTCTCCATATCATTTTTCAAGTATATAATAAATCAATTTTCTCCCAAATAAATGCATTAGATAGATTTAAACTGCAAAAACTTAATTTCGTTAAAGAGAGATGGAGCAAGCAGTAAGAGCGCCCATTGTCAGGAGGAATCATTGCAGCAATGGAAACTCATGAAAAATGATTCTGGCATCGACTTCATGACTTTGCTTTTGTCAGTCACACTTTAATCCCAAACCATAGCTTTGTAGTGAACTGTTGGAAATGAGCGATTGCTATTGTATTAATTCACTTTGCGAAATTAATCCTACAAAGTAACAAAAAAAAGAATCTGATCAGTATGAATGATGCAGGAATAAAAAGTATCATCTACTTCTCTTTCACCTCAATATAATTGCAACCACATAATAATTCTCCAGCATAACTACATCAACCCTAATGAATTTACTATCATTTTCAGAAATACGTCTTATAAAAATGCTGAAAATAGTTTGTGTGCGTAAAA